GGTTAGGGTTAGGGTGATCAGCCAATGAGGTTTTTAGATTTCACGATGATCCAAATTTCACCATGATCCGCGACAAATATTAGTTATTACAGTATTTCAAAAAAGAAAAAGAATGAAGGGATAACTCTTATTAGAATTTAATCACGAGTAGGATAAGTTGGATAAATGGAATAAGAGAAACAATTTTTAAGGAATAAAGGTCACGATAAATAAATTTGAAAAAATTCATATAAAGATAAATGACACATAGGTTAGAAAAGTAGCTCTTACTATTAAATAGAAATTACCATACATGCCCACATAATGTTCAATCGCACGTTTAACACCAAAATGAAGTAGTACAGTCGCTAGGGATCCTTAGAAGCTTTATAAAAAATGTTCTTATACTTATATAGAAATTGTGCTTATAATTATTCTTATATATTTAATAGTTGTTGGTTCAAAAAAATAAATGCTTTATGAAAAACATTCATATTCTATGATGTACTTAAATGGGAGATGTTTATATGAGAGGTACTTATGTGGGAGGCGCTTATGTGGTGCTTATGTGGGAAGCGCTTCTATGGGAAGTACTTATACGGAATGCGACTGTATATAAAAAAACTATTGCTACTAACAAACGTGTTTGTTCAATATAAATTAGAATGGTTACTTTGCATAACATAGTCAGTATCAGTATGTGTTTGATAAACGAAGGGCATGATTTCTTGAAAAGTATGAACGCCTTGAAGTTCGTTATAAGGATTAGAATAGAAAATAATACCATTATGATCTTGAAAAGTTAATGTGTGACCCTGCATAATATTGGGGAATATGAAGGATTGCATAGATACTCCATTCGAGTTAATTTCCGAATCGTCAAGAACATAGTTCCGTTCTAAGGGTCTATTGTCTTTTTTTGGTTCACGTTTTCCTTTTGGTGGACCGCGTTTTTTATTCGAATTATTAAAAATACATTTGAGACCATTTAGCGAACAATTTTTACATGTTGCTTTTCCTGTGCACTTTATATGTTTTTGTTGGCAATTGGTACATGCCTTAGTTACGTAAGGTCCTCGTCGTCGTTGACATAAAGACATGATTAATAAATGTATTTTGTAATCGTAATAATTAAATAATGATTATACTAGATCAATGAGAACCCACTGGAAGCAACACTGGAACTTTTACTATTGCAAATTCTCACTAAAAGATTAAATTTTTCCACCGGAAGCAAAATTTAACAACAATGTGCTAGATCTTATAACTAACAGCTAAACAAACGATTTTTGCAAATTAATAAAGAGGTGGAGCTTAAAAAGCACTCAAATTTATATCTTTACCAGAGGAAAAAACGCATATACATCAATACGACCAAATTAGGTTGTCATTTTTTTTTTCTATTTAAGGGAATCGAATCATTAAAGCGAGTTAAACTCTATTCTCTATGTGAAGGTTACTTTTATGATGCATCTAATGTTATGATTTTATATGTATATCAAGAATACAATTTACGCAGTATGTCTATTGAATTTACTAAATTTAGTTCGCATTAAGCAATAAAACAGAACCATGCGATATACTGTATAATGAATGATTGTAACGCGGATTTGAGTTTTTTTTTACGATTTTTTCCGGATTGAGTTGAATTAATATAGTATAAAAATAACTACTAACATATGAAACATGTTATTTCTCAATCAAACGTTAATAATATTTGCTACACAAAAAATTATCAATCTTAGATACTAATCTCGGAATTAACAATTGCTCTCTTTTCTTTAAATTCTCTTTTTTCTTTGTTCATATGACTTATCTCGGTTCGGTTCGCTTCGGTCAACACAACATGTGCATGTGCATATCGCGAGAAATTGTACACATAACTATAAATGGAGGTATAATTCAAAAATGGAAATTTTAACAATAAGAATGATTTCATTTTTGAATCCTAACATCATTATCGATATAACGATAATATCATTATCGATATAACCGATAACATCATTATCGATATAACGATAACGGCATATAAATTCCGTAATCTATTTCAAGCCAGATTATACAGGTTAATAAAATCAGTAAGTTGGCTGGCCGAATATCCGTTATTCTATGTACGTACGTACGTATTATGGCTGTACGTATATAAAAATTCCTATTAAAGATTCAGTACTTCAAATTGAGCCGTATAATTGGTGAGTTTGGTACAAGGATGCCTCTCATTTACTGTATATGGGGGGTCCTTAAAGCCGGGTTAAAAAAAGTTACGTTTTTGATGTTTTAAGAGTTACCTTTTTGATACAGTTAAGG